GTAATCCAGGAGTGGATCACTGGACAGCGGTCAAGAACATCCTGAAATACCTGAAAAGGACTAAGGATATGTTTCTCGTATATGGAGGTGACAAAGAGCTAGTCGTAAATGGTTACGTCGATGCAAGCTTTGACACTGATCTGGGCGATTCTAAATCGCAAACCGGATACGTGTTTTTATTAAACGGTGGAGCTGTAAGTTGGTGCAGTTCTAAACAAAGCGTCGTGGCAGGATCTACATGTGAAGCGGAATACATAGCTGCTTCTGAAGCAGCGAATGAAGGAGTCTGGATGAAGGAGTTCATTTCCGGTCTAGGTGTCATACCTAGTGCATCGGGACCAATGAAGATCTTCTGTGACAATACTGGTGCAATTGCCTTGGCAAAGGAATCCAGATTTCACAAGAGGACCAAGCACATCAAGAGACGCTTCAATTCCATTCGGGACCAAGTCCAAGTGGGAGACATAGAGATTTGCAAGATACATACGGATCTGAATGTTGCAGACCCGTTGACTAAGCCTCTCTCACGAGCAAAACATGATCAGCACCAAGACTCCATGGGTGTTAGAATCATTACTATGTAATCTAGATTATTGACTCTAGTGCAAGTGGGAGACTGAAGGAAATATGCCCTAGAGGCAATAATAAAGTTATTATTTATTTCCTCATATCATGATAAATGTTTATTATTCATGCTAGAATTGTATTAACCGGAAACATGATACATGTGTGAAAACATAGACAAACATATAAGTCACTAGTATGCCTCTACTTGACTAGCTCATTAATCAAAGATGGTTATGTTTCCTAACCATAGACATGTGTTGTCATTTGATTAGTGAGATCACATCATTAGGAGAATGACGTGATTGACATGACCCATTCCGTTAGCCTAGCACTTGATCGTTTAGTATACTGCTATTGCTTTCTTCATGACTTATACAAAGTTCCTGCAACTATGAGATTGTGCAACTCCCGTTTACCGGAAGAACACTTTGTGTGCTACCAAACGTCACAACGTAACTGGGTGATTATAAAGGTTCTCTACAGGTGTTTCCGAAGGTACATGTTGGTTGGCATAATTCGAGATTAGGTTTTGTCACTTCGATTGTCGGAGAGGTATCTCTGGGCCCTCTCGGTAATACTCATCACCTAAGCCTTGCAAGCATTGTAACTAATGAGTTAGTTATGAGATGATGTATTACAGAACGAGTAAAGAGACTTACCGGTAACGAGATTGAACTAGGTATTGGATACCGACGATCAAATCTCGGGCAAGTAACATACCGATGACAAAGGGAACAACGTATGTTGTTATGCGGTTTGACCGATAAGGATCTTCGTAGAATATATAGGGATCAATATGGACAGCCAGGTCCCGCTATTGGTTATTGACCGAGAATGGTTCTAGGTCATGTCTACATAGTTCTCGAACCCGTAGGGTCCGCACGCTTAACGTTACGATGACAGTTTCATTATGAGTTTACAAGTTTTGATGTACCGAAGTTTGTTCGGAGTCCCGGATGTGATCACGGACATCACGAGGAGTCTCGAAATGGTTGAGACATAAAGATTGATATATTGGAAGCCTATGTTTGGACATCGGAATGGTTCCGGGTGAAATCGGCATTTTACCGGAGTACCGAGAGGTTACCGGAACCCCCCCGGGGGGTTATTGGGCCTACATGGGCCACGAGGATGAAGAGGGAAGGAGCCAGGAGGGGGCCGCGCGCCCCTCCCCTCCTAGTCCGAATAGGACAAGGGAAGGGGGGCGGCGCCCCCCCTTTCCTTCCCCTCTTCCTCCTCTTTCCCCCCTTCTCCTACTCCTACTTGGAAAGAAGGGAGTCCTACTCCCGGTGGGAGTAGGACTCCCCCCTTGGCGCGCCCTCCTTGGCCGGCCGCCTCCTCCGCCTGGCTCCTTTATATACGGGGGCGGGGGGGCACCCCATAGACACACAAGTTGATCTACGGATCATTCCTTAGCCGTATGCGGTGCCCCCCTCCACCATATTCCACCTCGGTCATATCGTCGCGGAGTTTAGGCGAAGCCCTGCACCGGTAGAACATCATCATCGTCACCACGCCGTCATGCTGACGGAACTCATCTCCGGAGCTCGGCTGGATCGGAGGCCGGAGATCGTCATCGAGCTGAACGTGTGCTGAACTCGGAGGCCCCGTACGTTCGGTGCTTGGATCGGTCGGATTGTGAAGACGTACGACTACATCAACCGCGTTGTGCTAACGCTTCCTCTTACGGTCTACGAGGGTACGTGGACGAACACTCTTCCCTCTCGTTGCTATGTCATCACCATGATCTTGCGTGTGCGTAGGAATTTTTTTGAAATTACTACGTTCCCCAACAGTAGTGTAGGACAAGCTCCTCGGTACCCACTATCTCTGCCGTCCACGCTCCTTTCTGTTCCTCGAGATTTGCACAATTGCAGGCTGGTGTCACTGTACGCTAGAGTGATTAAGGTCTTTCAACTCTGATGGGATACCTGCTGCGTCTAAACTCTGGTTGACACATATGCACTGCCCATTGATTGAGACAGCACAGCTTTGCAGACCTCGCAGCCCAAGAATTGACGTGAACCTCGTCACATGACCACCAGCTCCTCACACCCAATTATTTTTACCCCTTTTTCTTCACCTTTTCAGTCCGGTACCCATGTGAAAGGAGAGAGAGCATTTATTTTTCTATTTTTATTTCAGCACAATCTTTTCTTTATAATCTCATGTGAGAAAGGACAAATGGCAGCAGGACAGAGAAAACATTTTTTCGTAAGATAGAGGCTGGGAGAGAGGAGAGAGAGAAAAGAAAAGTCAAAGAAGCCTTAGATATTTGAGATTTGACTTCTGCATGTCATGTTATTTGTAAAGAGAGTGAGCATGCGGAGAGAGAGAGCGTGAGACTGTGGGCAGTCATGTCAGAGAACTGTGTTATGCATGCATGCGAGAAAGAGCGCTCTGCAAATGGTGTCGTTTCTGTTGCTACATTTTATAGTTGGAATGTTGGAATATTCATATCCTTGGATTGATGATCTTATGTGCCCTGAATAGAAGTATATGGAAATATGATTAACCATAAAAGCAATAGATACACATTCAGGTTTCGTAAGAACATGCATGTGCCAGCTCATATAATTTCTTTCTTCATGCAGCTGTTTTAAGAACAGAAAACTCATAAA